TAACTACTACTCCGCGAGAAATCTTGCGTCTGCGCAGTCGGACTGTAAACAGTTCCTAAACTAGTTTTTTCACAATACATTTCGTCCAGATCTTCAGGAGAAACTCAGAAATACGCAGGGGCGACAAACAGACTTTCTATACGCAGCATGGCTCGCGTAACAAATGTCTTTCTATGAAATGACTTTTTATGCCAAAACACCATGGTTATGTTGTGGTTTATCCCTTTCAAAACCGGGAACTTCAATTTTATTTGATCAAACAGATATATTTGGATCAATTCGTATAAAATTCCATTTACGCCTGGATTAGACAAATTACGAAGTTGTCCAGTAGATCCGTTATTTGTAATTGTGTATTAATGGAATAAAGACATTGCTACAAACTCAAATTTTCTAATCCAAATATCTTTGCATATGGATGATGATAAACCTTTGATATTGCAATCTTTAGTTATTTAATTTTACGAATTCAAAGTTTGAAATATCTCAGCTATACGACTCTGGGTTGCAGAAATATAGGGATTTTTTTTAATCTTTTACATTTCTTGTTTTAGATTGGAAGAGATGGAATTGTTCCTTGCACTGTTAGACAAGTTGGTTCCAAACAGGTGCCATATATAAATAATCTTCATAAATTTTGCTTGTCTTCGCGTTTGTTTGTTTGTAGCCAATAAAACGTCAAAACAGTGGAACCGATCGGGCCCAAACTTTTAGTGGGACCCCACACGACCCCAGGGAACATTTAGGAGGAAAAATTTTTTAAAAAAATTGCCTCCATCAAAGTTCGATTTTCGTTAAATTTTTAAAAATTGTTTAAATCCATGAAATTTATTTATAAAATCCGCAAACTTTTTTTGTTTTTTGGTTTTGGTTTACAATGTACACAAATAAAAAAAATTTCACAATTGAAGATGGGTGCGAAGCTCCCTAAGAGCCTAGTGTATATATATATATATATTTAAACAGAGGTCGGAACTCCTTTCTTCAGAAACTGCTTTGGAGTTTTGATGGATTAAGTTGATTTCTTTCAACATACCTTAAAGTCAACCAATCAGAAACCACAAAAATCTATATACTTTCAACCAATCAGAAACCACAAAAATCTATATACTGTCAACCAATCAGAAACCAGAAAAATCTATATACTGTCAACCAATCAGAACCCAGAAAAATCTATAAACTGTCAACCAATCAGAAACCAGAAAAATCTATAAACTGTCAACCAATCAGAAACCAGAAAAATCTATAAACTGTCAACCAATCAGAAACCAGAAAAATCTATAAACTGTAAACCAATCAGAAACCAGAAAAATCTATATATTGTCAACTGATGAGAAATCGCAAAAATACAATTCTGCTGTTTTACTCGGATTTAACAGTAAACACTTTAATTTAAAAGTTTCCGTCTTAGATATCCATTGGATGTTACAGATTAGTGTAGATTAGTGTTCACTATAGTTGAGCCTACCTAATTCTGTTGCATAAAACACGCTGGATCTACCAAATACTGGGTAAACTAGACGGGTTGGTACGGCAAAAACAAGACCGGCATTCTTATACGGTTCGGAATATGCAACTTTTGAACTAATGTGATGCTCGCTCTGCCAAAAGTTTCAACCTTTGTACTATTTTCTATATTCTGTAATTAATGCAAAACTTTCATGCAAAAACAATTTATTACCTTTCCCCCTGGTTCAATGAATAATTAATCACCGTATTAGAGTAATTAATCTAAAAAAGTTCCCAAAGTATAAAAAAATGTGTTAGGCTCAATCCTGGTTCTGGAAACCCGCTATCCCTTCCAAACGATTTCAACTATATCCTCTAATTCTTTTAAGAGCAACTACATAAAAGATACAATCGTTTTTCTATCTTGAAAGTGCTAAATTATGAAATTTTCATTCTGTATTTGCCGCATATAAGTTGAATGATATTATTTCAAGGTTTCTTGGATCCGTAAGCGGGATGCCGCAATTCTCTCAGTCGGAAAGTTCGTCTTCTCTTCTGAAAGTCGGATAACTGTAGATGTACACTCAACCATGGACACGTGGAATCTTATTATTAGGTAACAAGGAACTGAGTTTGGAACTTTTCTCGTTAATATTTATTATTAAGTCCAAACTTAAATAACTATTTATAACACTTATATTTTGGTGATTTTTTAACAGAAGTCTTATTTATTTCTAAATATAACTTCATTTACTTTTTATTTTATTACGATTGAAACAAATTTTCAAAAAATATTCTAAATCTTTGGAGAAAATCTGCGAACCCTTGTGCCTTTAGCACCGTGCTATTATATATAGCTAAATTAACATTATAAAACAATGATTATTTTATGGAAGTAGGGTTTCCAGCGAACAAAAAATGCAAAAAATGCGAAATTTCATATTTTTACGCAAAAATGAATTAAGCGAAAAAAATGCGAAAACAATGCAAAATTTCGAGAAAACCATAAGTATTGTAGCTGCAACAATTAATTGCGCAAAAAAGCTTATTGAATTCTCGCGAAACAGATAAAAGCCAAATTTCTCGAAAAAACGAACATTTTCGCATTTTTATCGAGCGAACGAAATGCAAAAAATGCAATAATTTTTTGCGAAACAATTTACCCTTTACGCTGGAAACCCTAAGCACGTTTATAATGAAATTGACCAAGAAGGTACTAAAAGTACATAAAGTAAACAGTAATTACATAAAAAATGAAAACATTTAAATGAAAGTTGCATATATGTACTTGTGTGCACACTGTTATGTTCTCTTTTCCAAGATTTACAAGGAAAATAAATCTAAAAGATCCATAAATTAGAAATACAAGCAAGCTAAAATTTTACTTCTTAAAATAACATTAACAAATATCTTGAAACACAAACAAAAACTTTTTCATAATTTTTTTAATTTTCAGATATTAATTCATAGATACATACAGGGTGTCTAAAAAAACGAGGAAAAAGGGTCTACAGATTTTTGTAATCAGATTTTCAATAGTGAGACCATTAATTTTAAAATCTACGTACAATTTTTGGCTTAAAGATCTATAAAGAACAATTTTATTGACCCCTATACCTTGGGTTCCAGCGAAAAGGGTAATCAAAATTTTTCTTTTTTTTTCTTGAAATTTTGCTTTAATCTGTTTCGTGAAAAATGCGAAATGTTCGCAAAATAAGAAATGCGAAAACGGAGTTTATCTTTTACTTTTTACTAGCTGAACACTTTAGGAACCTATTCAATTGCTATTTTTTGGTCTACAAACCTACAATTGGGCTCATTGAATCGAAAAGTTTACTTAGATATTAAAAATGGTCTCAATCTTGAAAATCCGATTACAAACAAGTCTGTAGAAAATTGTGCAAATGGAGATTTTCTTTATTTTTTACGAAATTGTACGTAGATTTTAAAATTGATCTCTGAGGCCTTATTCCCCGTTTTTTGAGACATCCTAGTTTTATGTTTCTGAACAAACATGTGGACAAGATCTAGACCTATATCTAGATCAAGATCTATACCTAGATCTAGATCTATACCTAGATCTAGATATATACCTAGATCTAGATCTATACCTAGATCTAGACCTATATCTAGATTTAGACCTATACCTAGATCTAGACCTATACCTAGATTTAGACATATACCTAGTTCTAGACCTATATCTAGATCTAGACCTATATCTAGATCTAGACCTATACCTAGATCTAGACCTATACCTAGATCTAGACCTATACCTAGATCTAGACCTATACCTAGATCTAGACCTATACCTAGATCTAGACCTATACCTAGATCTAGACCTATACCTAGATCTAGACCTATACCTAGATCTAGACCTATACCTAGATCTAGACCTATACCTAGATCTAGACCTATACCTAGATCTAGATCTATATATATATCCTAGACAAGCTGAGCTACAGGACTCTGGAGTGTATGAATGCCAGATCAGTGACAGCCCTAAACTGAGCAAGTTGGTTTACCTACATGTTAAAGGTATTAAAATCATTATCTAAACTTAAATTTCATTACAGAATTTCCGGAAAACTATTCAGAAAATAAAATTTTTAGAATTTATTGATTATTGAACGCTAATCATACGTACTTTGCCGTTTAGAAAATATTTTTTTTTCATTAAGAGGGGGGGGGGGAGCAGACTATTGTTGATTTATTTTATTATTCTATGATAGCAAGTGTAACATAATTATGAATTCTGTACAATGAAAATAAACTTAAATGTTTATGACCTTGTAATTTTGAGTAACTTCTTATAATTAACTATACTTTTTATAATTTTCAAACTTTAATTTCACTCTAAAACATCCCATTAAAAATTCTATGCCCCCCTTTAAAATTTCACAGTTGCGCCCCTGGTTGTGCCTGCAGTAAGTTATTGCCTCACTTCCCTATCTATAAAGTATAAAATATTGTATGAAATGTACCAACCCAACTTCTTATTGCTAAAATCTAGCTTATTTGTTTTTAACAGCTAGTATGGAAGGTTTATGTAGTTTCCCGTCGAGCAAAAATCTATATTACTTTGGTTATTATCAACTCCAAGACTTAGCACACTTTATTTGAAAACAAAAGTCAATTTGTTTCAACAGAAGAATGAAATATATTCAACTTTAATAATTTTTTGTAATTAAATTTTACAATATTTTTAAATATTTATATGGAGATATTTCGAGATTTCTATATTTCAATTGTTCTTCATTTTCTTCTTGTTCGTACATCTTTCCATCATATTTCGGCTAATTTTGAAAATAAAAAGAAAAGATTATTTTGGAGAACTATTTTTAAAGGACCTTGTATTTTTTTTGAACCCTGTATTTAATTTAACTAGCTGAGGATCTTGCTTTCTTTTCTGAACCCTGTATTTAATTGAACTAGCTGAGGATCTTGTTTTCTGAACCCTGTATTTAATTGAACTAGCTGAGGATCTTGTTTTCTGTTCTGAACCCTGTATTTAATTAAACTAGCTGAGGATCTTGCTTTTTTTCTGAACCCTGTATTTAATTGAACTAACTGAGGATCTTGTTTTCTGAACCCTGTATTTAATTGAACTAGCTGAGGATCTTGNGGGGGGGGGGGGGGGTGGAAACGTCTTCCAAGCCCCCATCTCTAATATCAAGAGATTTCCCTACCAATTTTTCCTGTTCAATTTTATTTTTTTGCTTCTTGTTTCAACACTTTGAGGCCTCTCCAAATATATCTTTTGACATAGAGTTGTGGAGCAGGTATGAAAGAGATAAAGATTTTGTAGGAAAAAGGGATTGCTTCCTGTTGTCCATCGTGTTATAGTCTTTCTGACTTAAGTGGAATTTCAAGGAAGCCCATAACTGCACCCTTTATGCAAAATGGAGAGGTGTAAGCCTTAAAGCCCCATTGAGAGGAATCTTCTCAGCAGTCCAGTCCTCACAGCTGGTCGAGTAAAAAACCGGTATCATTGTGCATGGCTTGTATACCCATCAGGGGGTTAAACTCCATCTTTCAGCTGCACCAGGCTGACTATGAAGTCTTGTTTTATTCTTTCATTGTACATTCCTTACTCCTCTACAGGATACGAGATTTGCAACTAAATGCACCAAACTGTAAAGCCGGACCGCTATAAGAGAGGTCCGTTCTCTTCTAAGGGTGGTAAGCAACTCAAAGAATGAAATATATGAAAATAACTTTTTTTAACAGTTTTTTTTTCTGAACAAACACATTTGGGTAGAAATCTTAAAGGAACCGAGTTTTGCAACAAACTCAAATTTTCTTATCCCCTTATCTTTAAAACTCAATGTCATAAACCTATGATATTTTAAACCATGAATTCTGTTGGATCAATAATCTCCGTTTAAAATATCAATGGTTTACTCCGGTTGCAGAGATATAAAATTCAAAAATTTAGTTTGTGGTAAAAATGAGTTTCTTTAAGAAGAGAGGATCAACCAGTAGGTCTGCTCTAGTTACAGAATCCTGATCTACTGGTTGGAGGATTTCCTTAATCTTGTTTGTGGATTTCTTGCTTGACATGGAAGACGATATTAATTCCGTTTTATTTTCAGTACCTGAACTGCGTATAGCAGGAGAGAAAGAGGTGTATGCTAAAGCCGGCAGTACAGTACAGTTGAAATGTTATGTACAGAGTACAGCAACATCACACTGGACTATTCAATGGTAATTATAACATGCTGCCTTACATATTTTAAGGGATCTTTATCATCCATTTTCAAATCTGTAGAATTTATAGATATTTTCTATTTGATTCTTAAACAACTGTTTGTTTTTTATAAAGCAAAAATATGGGACAATCCAATTTACGGAAAATATTTATAAAACTATATAAATAGAAATTGATTAAATAGGAACATTCTTGATTTGTTTTTCTTTTAGTTTAACTCTCTCTTAAATTGTAAATCTAATTCTAAATAATATATAATCTAGAAATTTCTATCCATCCCCTTTTTTGCTTAAAATTACTTTTCCATAATTTGTTTAGTTTATTGATATTTGTCAAGAAAAATGTGTTGTAAGAAATAGCTACCCTACTGACAATATTTCAGTATTTCCTAGGTCAACACAGAACATTTGAAAACAAATCCTAACTCTATAGATAGTTGTTATTAAATGGACTGTATGTGTGATTTCAAATGACTCCCCAATTAAAAAGATGTAGGCTGGATTCACAACGGTACCCTTTACATTTTTATCAGAACAGCAATCAAAAGATATCTTCGTTCTTCGTTTTTCTGTAAACGTCAAGTTTTCAAACACAATTGTGAATCGGACATGCCATTCTTCAATCTAAAATCTATTTTATATTGAATCTACTTTCCCCTTTAGATAATAAATCCAAGTGTTTTCTTTGACCTATGAAAAATGACCTAGGACATCTCGACTTAAAAAAAAATCTAAATTGAAACATATGACAGGAATCTTTCCAATGGATGAATATTTTCTTTGGAACGTGATTAATTTGTTTAATCTTATGAAACCTATTTGTTATCTTATGCAAGAGAAAAATCAAACATTAACGTTTTTTGCAGTTTATGTTTTCATTTCAGGCATTTATAATTTGTGATGTGCCTTTATGAAAAATTCAATAAATGGTACATGTAAATTACCTATTTGAGTAGTATAAAATAATACATATAGTATAAAATTGAAAATGTGTATGAAGTACATTTTTATGAGGACCGTTTAGGTCAGTACATGGAATAATATCAAATATGCATTTTTTAATATTTTTTTCTGTTTCCATAGATAAGTCCACTTCAATGTTTCTTTTTTTTTAAAGTAAACTTTATATTTTACCATTTATATACATAACACCTTCAGATCGTTATTAGAATTAATTTAAGAAAACTTTGAATACCCAAGTTTGTAATTTAAATAACCCCTCCCTCCCCACAAAACTTTAAGTCCAAAAAATATTTTGAACCCACTTTTACTCGACTCTTACGCTATTTTCGACGGATATTGAATAGATAAAAACATTACTGAGAATTTCGAAGCAAACAGAATATATATTGTTGTAGTTGTTGTAGACTCTCTATACTGAGTACTGACCCACTGTAAAGAGACATAAAAATTTGGATTAAAAAAACTTTTAGCTGATTTAATTTTCCAAATTTAGGTTTTACAGAGGCAAAGGAGAGGAGAATTTCTCAGCTAATTCCAACATGGGTTCAAACAAAGGTCTGTTTATTTATTTTTCAATTATTTTAACATTTAAACAATTTATAAATAAATAAAAATGACTAAAAAAGCAATACAATAAAATGCACTACTCCAGAGTCCAACCCGTCCACCTCCCTTCCTTTTTCGGGTTAAGACTGCATCATGTGGTTAACAGTGTTAAAATCTTGATATTTTTGCAGTCTGCTAAATTGGTTCTAACTTTGATTAATGATTTTAGTTCTCGCAAGGTAGGTTCTGTACCTCAGGGATATAAACCGTTAAAGCTAAACTTCCTTTGACAGTGTTTTCTTTTATAGCCAATAAATATTATATCAGATTTAGTATTATGGTATCCTTGCAACATTGCCACATTCTTCCAAGTATCATCTTTCACAAGAAAGTGCAAAATGGATAAAAAACTGTTTTATTCTGATCTAATTTTTGATAACGATTGGTCTCATTTTTCATTTTCTAGGAACCTGGACATTGAACTCCGTAAGTGAATCTGATGCAGGAGATTATATGTGTACTGCTACCAGACTAAAACCGGTTTATATCCAGCTCGTCATATTGCCAGGTAATTTTATCATTACATGTGCACTGCTACCATGGATTAAAACCGGTTTAAATCCAGTTCGTCATATTGCCAGGTAGTTATATCATTATTTGCATACTTCTAACAGACTAAAACCGGTGTATATCCAGCTCGTCATATTGCCAGGTAGTGATAGCAAGTGTANTCGTCATATTGCCAGGTAGTTATATCATTAAATGTGTACTTTACCAGACTAAAACCGGTTTAAATCCAGCTCGTCATATTGACAAGTAATTATATCATTAAATGTGTAGTGCTACAAGACTAAAACCGGTTTAAATCCAGCTCGTCATATTGCCAGGTAGTTATATCATTAAATGTGTACTTTACCAGACTAAAACCGGTTTAAATCCAGCTCGTCATATTGCCAGGTAGTTTCATCATGGGGAGAAAGGCGAGCCACATCCTTCATGAAATCCGAGCCACATCAAAATGTTGTTTCTATCAATATTTTCATCTTACAGATTGAATTTTTGAATTTTAGTGCTTTAAGTAAAGAAAAGGGAATCTCCGGCCGAAATCTGCTTGATAAGGAGAACAATTTTCAAGACAACAAAACTTGAAAAACTTAACATTGTGAAAGAATTTCAGAAACCAACGAACACATATTAAGATGAGATGAGAAAATGAGAAGAATTGATTTGGTTTCCTAGTTCACTGCTGGTCAATCTAATATCTTTCTTATCGAATATGAATGTAAATTAGTAATGTGTTGTTTTAGGAGAAAGGTTTGCTGAAGCAATGGTTCGTGAAGGAAATACAAACTCTGGAGTTTCAAGTTTAGATAATATATCCATCTTTTTTCCTTCACATATTATAATTGTAATTTTAACATGCATGAACATGATTTAAAAACTAGAATTTTAACATGAACGAACATGATTTAAAAACTAGAATTTTAACATGTATGAACATGATTTAAAAACTAGAACTTTAACATGTATGAACATGATTTAAAAACTAGAACTTTAACATGTATGAACATGATTTAAAAACTAGAACTTTAACATGTATGAACATGATTTAAAACTAGAATTTTAACATGTACGAACATGATTTAAAAACTAGAATTTTAACATGTATGAACATGATTTAAAAACTAGAATTTTAACATGTATGAACATGATTTAAAAACTAAAATTTTAACATGTACGAACATGATTTAACGTACATTATAATGAACATGATTAAAAAACTAGAATTTTAACATGTATGAACATGATTTAAAAACTAGAATTTTAACATGCATAAACATGATTTAAAAACTAGAATTTTAACATGTACGAACATGAATTAAAAACTAGAATTTTAACATGTAAAAACATGATTTAAAAACTAGAATTTAACATGTACGAACATGATTTAAAAACTAGAATTTTAACATGTATGAACATGATTTAAAAACTAGAATTTTAACATGTAAAAACATGATTTAAAAACTAGAATTTTAACATTTTAAAACTTATTTAACAGTTCTTAGTAATATTTTTTTTTAGATTGAGGGTAAAAGAGAATATAATGAGAACTGTTTTTTTTAATCTAAATAGGCTCGGGGGGGGGACGTTTGACGCCCCCACCCCCTCTAGTTTTTGTTTGCTCTAGCACTCTCATTTCTGACACTCTCACCGTGACATTTTTTTCTTTTGATGAACAGAAATTTAAAGGATTTTTTGTAAATTTTTTTAATGCATTGGGTAGGGTTCAGGGGGATAAAAAGTCCGGTCCGTATAAAAAAGTCTGAAATAGACCATGACGTTTTTTGTGACTAAAGCTACAGATCTAAATACTATATTTTTAAAAAGCCCCTGAAAACGGATGTAGGAACATGTGTTACATCTTGATATTTGTTCAAAATAAAAACAATTAATTTTTATATTTTTTTACCCTTTTTTTGCAATTTTTTTCAACTCTCCTTAGCACCTAAACTATTAAAAGTTATCGGTCCAATTTTTTTAACGAGCTGGCTTTGGAAATTGGGCAATGAACATGCATTTCAACCCTATACCTATACTGTCAGGCATTTTTCTATTGAGTGGGGGGGGGGGGCTTGGAACGCCCCCCCAGGCTATACATAGATTTAGACCCCCCCTCAGCCTTTAAAGGGTTAAAAGGTTGATCACGTAAAATATACTTTTTTAAAAATTCCAAGTATTCTGTATTTTGCATAATTGAATTAGCGATTACTCTAAAAAAATACGTATTACCATTGAAGCATATATATTATAATGCTTAAGCAATCTATATTTTTAACAAATGTGTAAAATTCCAAATATAAATTCAAGCATTTTAAGTTTCAAGTTTATGCTTTATATTAGACATTTACTCAAACTTCTAGAACAGAAATAAACTAAATTAAGTTTATCAAAAATTATTGAATAAATATTGTATCCACGCGAGGTAAGTTATAAGCAGAGATTTAAGAAATAATACTTGAGTAGCACTTCTAGTAGTTCAAATATTCTAATATGCCTTTGCAATCTTATGGTGTAAACCATTGATATTTCAAATTAAAACAATTGATCTAATCAAATTGAAAGTTTGAAATGTATCCAAGATATACGGCGTTGGTTTTCAAAGATTGGGATTGAAAAATTAGAGTTTTTGGCACAGACTCATTTTCTTTGATGCAAGACTGAAATCTTACTTTTTTCCAATTATATCTCGTCTTACTAAAAAGTTATTGAAAAATAAACGAGTTTTGAATTTCTTGTATTTGGGCATGTATCTATAATATCTATGTAAATGAAGTAATAGATCGAAAACAACCATAGTTCACAGTGGTATAATCAAAACCTGAGACAAGGTCGAGTGATGGATTAGCAGAAGAGACCTACTTTGTCGAAAATCAAGAGTTTATCGAAAAAAGTGGAATTATCGTATTACAATTTTTTAGTCCATAATTATCTAATAATTTCAGTTTCGTCATTTTTTAAAACTTTATAATATTTTAAATTTCCTCAATTTCTTTTTTTCTTCACATGGTTGGTCCCTTTTTTTCTTAACAGGGTTGGTCCCTTTTTTTCTTAACAGGGTTGGTCCCTTTTTTTCTTAACAGGGTTGGTCCCTTTTTTTCTTAACAGGGTTCGTCCCTTTTTTTCATAATGGGGTTGGTCCCTTTTTTTCTTAACAGGGTTGGTCCCTTTTTTTCTTAATAGAGTTGGTCCCTTTTTTTCTTAATAGGGTTGGTCCCTTTTTTCTTTGTCATGTTTCCTTCATTAACTCGATCATTTTGTTATATTTTGTCTTTCTCCTAGTTTTTATCTTTCATTAGTTTTTCACTTTCTACTTTTTCATTCTTTCATCTTTAATATTTTTCTTGCTTTAATTCTTCTTATCTCTTTAATTAAAGGGAGTGACCTCTCTTTATTTTATAAACATCTTCAGCCAAACCTTCAAACTAATGTAAATTGAATGTTAGATTAAAATTTTATTGTTTTTAATCAGAACTTCTCTTATTAAAGAGCTATTGTAAAGAACAATAAATAATGTTATAAATTTTGATATTAATTATATTAATTTATCTGTCACTCTAGCATGCCGAGTCCATTAGCGCCTGATCCAATCAGGGTTCAGCCATATGTTGGTTGTCTATTTTGAACCAATAGTAATTGCTTGGCGGTAAAATCTATCTGTCTATCTAGCTCATTATCCAATTAGAGATGAATCCTATATCGGGGTTATCAGTAAATGGAAATATCTACTTCTACTAAAACTATAGTGCTGTGCGCAAAATTAAAACTAAATGAGCAACAAGGTCACAAAGTCATACCAACATTTTATATTTGCCTTCTGTCTAGTTTACATTGATACATATTTTGAAACAAGAGTTGGAGATTGTTTACGTACACTCTACACAGTAAGCTCAGTGTGTCATTTTAGTTTTAATAAAATTGATATTAAACCATATTTCATATAATGCAAACCCTACCAGAAGTCAGAACGTTTCTGTTGTGAATCTTGGGATTAAAGATTAATCTCCATCTCAAGCAGACAATGGTTTAATTTACTTCCTTTTTTACTCCGAAAGATCTACAAGGATTGAGGGATCATGTTCAAATTTAGAAGTGCCCACATTGGATATCGAGATCAGGCCTGCAAAATTAACATTTTCCGGACAAAAGTTCACAGGGTATAGGGTTTGAAGTTGAAACCGGTTCATAAACTCTAATTGATAACTTTGTCAACAAGAAATTCCAAGAAAACTAAATATTTCCTGAATGTTCTCCAGAAAACAAGAAACCTTTTATGTTTTGTGTCCCACTCCCGACCACTAATGAGAAACTGAAGCTTAAAAACTTAAACTTAGACAGAATTCACTGAAATATACTCTATAACTCTCTGTATATTGAATGGAAATTGAATAAAGTTTTTAGATTGAAATTGATTAATAAATGTAAAAATAAGTTTAAATAGTGCAAACTATGACATTGTTACACTAATGCATTTTTTAACCCATTTAAATTTGAAATTGTTCGACCTCTTTTTTATATTTTGATTTGAAATGATTTGAAAACAATTCATAGGAAAATGTTCATTTTTCAAGACGTTTGAAGATGTTCACATTAAAGATTAATATTTCTTGTGTACAAGTTTTCTTTTGGTGGTTTTACTTGTTTTAAACCCACTGCCAGTCTTCTAAAATGAGAACAGTATTACAAAAATAAAATAGAAGGGAGGTGACCCACGACCCGTGACCCACGACCCATGACCCACGATCCACGACCCACGACCCGCAACCCACGACCCGCAACCCGCGACCCGTGACCTGCGAGCATGAAATTGTTGCTAAATGCTTATTTTGCTTTTCAATTTAACGCTTTCCCAATTTTTAATAAAAACATTCAGATTTTTATACAAAAGCATTCCTTCCCCTAAAGATATATAATATATGGATATTTGCATCAAAGGATTTTTATAGATACAAATTTATCAAAATTTTCCCTGCAAGAAAATATTGCAAATTTTTTACATTTGTTCTAGAAAATTGGAGATTTTAGTTTAAAGTAAACCCTTTCATGGGACTGTGATCGTAATTTAGAGTGACTCTCCTATTATAGAGAATGGTAATTCCGCTGTCCAATTAAAAAAGTTGGAACTTCCAAAGATTTGTCTAATCAAAATTGAACGAAATATCTATTTTATTTTGATAAACTCTTTACAAAATTGTTTTTAATTGTTTCTGTCTCGAGAAATAGATATAAAACTATGTCAAATTTATACCAAAATTCATATATTTACAATTTTGTATAGAAGTTGTAGTATTAAGCAGATCATATTCAACAAATACGAAACCAATCTAAAAACGACGATATCCCACAGAAACCTGAGAATCTCAGGTTTGCTCCTGTTATAATCATTTAATTCTTATTTTGCATTATCAATAGAAATAATTGATAATATTATTACATACAGTCCGTAAAGTCCGTATTACGTCACCATAACTTCAGCCAATGGCAGTGCAGTATACAAAATTTCATATATATAGATTTTCATATAATTTTGGCACAGTTTAAATTTAAATTTAAACAGGGCTTGCCTAAATCAAAACTTTAACCTTTCAACCTTCGCTTGAACAAAAAATGTGAAGAAATCCTTAATTTCAGAAAAAAATATTATTATATTATGTATATATAAAAAAAAACAAATTTCAAGAAATATAAAACTATACCAGATAGAAAAGCGTCATATCTTCCTCAATTTTGCTTAGATCAAGGTTCAATGACATGACATTCTAGAACGCACCCATCCGGAATTTGTTATTTATGGGATGAGACCTGTCAGAAGTGAAAGCTGGATATCTGTTGGACTTATTTTGACCTTTTTTCAAGTAAAATCGGACCCTTCTTGGTATATATATATAGACCATTT